CAGTCCCACTCTTATGCATGTAAAGTCCATGCTTGAGTCCAGATAGGGGCCCCTACCTCCACCAGGTTATGAGGTACAATGGTGAAGGTATATGTTATAGGATAAGTGTTCCTGTCTGGATGTTTTGAGGTGACGTTTTTTTGCAGTTTTCATGCTGTGGATGCGTGTTGGGGATTGGTTGGGGATTTTTGTTTGGCCCTTCCGTGCTTCCTGAGGCCTTACTTGTTCTTCTGGGTTAATGGTTGCAAAGGGGGTCATTGCCCCTTTTTTCGTAGTCTTATCTGGGTCACTCTTTCCTTGCACGTCTTGCAGTGCCTGGCTTAGCCCTTCCATATACATTGGATTCTCTGTACAGTACTTACCTAGTTGTGTTTGCGGGAGTTGAGCTCTGGCTTTTTGGTCCCGTTTCTCACCTGTCATTCGCACACGTGCAGGTTCCTGGGGCCTGCTGGGCTCTATCATATCTGCGCTTGACGCTGTGTGTGGTGTCATCCTCCACCACATCGCTTCCTCATGCGTTCCGCTTGTCTATTACTCTGACACTGCAATACTTCTTTCCCACGTCTGGCTCATTTGGGCTTTCGTTCCACCGGTGTCCCCTGGTGCGTGTGCCCCTGGGCCCGGCCTTTCTCTACCTTATCCCTTCCTTTGGGAATCATGAATGTTGTGATCATCTCCTCGTAGTTTGTACTCCTTGGTTCGGGTACTGGTCTGGTGGCATACCTTTGCTCCTTTTTTCCTTTTTTATCTTGGGACGTGTCACACAACTGTGTTGGCATGGCTTGTTGGGACATGACCAGCGGCTCTGTGTTGTTGTTGATCGTGTCCCTTTCATTCCCGTTTTGCTACTTGTCTTCTTCGTTCCTCATCTTCCTTCTACACTCTTGTCCCTTGCCGTTGGTGCTGGAGCCTTTCTTCTGGTTTTTAATAGTGTTTTTCCGTTTTCTCATTTTATCTTACACATGGTCGTGTGTTTTGTTTGTGCCTTTTGGCTCTCCGATTGCCAGGTTGGGTTCCTGGTTTTCTGGCTTACCCGGCCTGTTGGGATTTTCAGTCTCATGGTTTCCCTTCTCTAGACTCACGCATCGGGATTGTCGTCTCCAACCTCCTGGCGGAATCGCGGGCGTTGGGATGTTTTTCTGTACAGCGGACGTTCCATCTCCTCCTTTGTCGGCTTGAGTTTCAGGCTCTGCTGGCTCCGTGGTCGCACCCGAGATCTTCCCACGGCTTCGCCTCTTCCTAGGCTTGATTGGCACATGGCGGGGCCGGTTTGGTTCTGCCTCGAGTCTTTCACCTTCTATTGGTGGTCGGGAGGCTTTGTTGGTGTCCCACCTGCATGCTTCTTCTTGGCGGCAGTGTGGGATTTTTGGCGGTCCTTCTATCCCTCCTTCAGTAGCTGCGTTCGTTGTAGTTTTGTCCTTCTCTTGTGGAGGTTTAGGGCCATCATCTTGCCCCATACTGTCGCCTCGTATCGTGCAGCACTGGCAGAGTCGCTTCAGCTTGCTTTCGGTATTGATGTTACTTCTGCGCTGTTTCGCAAGCTGTCTCGTGCATTGTTTCACCTCCAGCGTGCTCTTGCGCCACCTGAGCCATCCTTGTCATTGGACAGAGGGCTCTTTTCTTTGTTCACCGGTTTGTTGTGGCCCCTTCGGTTCAGGTTTGTTCTCCAAGGCTTCTTTTCTGTTGGCATTGGCCTCTGGGGGTCGGGTTGGGGAGCTTCATGCTCTCCTCCGGCGCAGGGGTTTTTGCTCTTTCGATCTTCGTGTTGGTTTTGTTCATCTGCAGCCGTTTCCTTCCTTTTCTGGCGAAGAATGAGACTGCTGCTTTCCGGAGGAGTACCCGAGTTGTTGATGCTTGGTTGGTTGGGCCGGGGGGTGCATCATGTTTTGTGTCCGGTGGCGGCTTTTTGCCGTTTTTACGCGCCACGGCTTCTGTGTCCGGGGACGCACTTTGGGTTGATCTGGTTTTCCCTTCTTCCCTGTTCACGAGTACGGGTCTCCCAGGTCGTCCGCAGTGTTCTTCAGGCTAGCCAGCCTGCGGTCTATCCCCGTACCCATAACGTTCGTAAGTTCGCTGCTCTTGCTGCCATCTTTGGTACCATGTCTTTGACTGACATTCGGGCACGGAACTTTTGGAGGTCGAACAGGGTCCTGGCTGGTCATTACCTTGTGCATGTCCTGGGGCCTCATCGGGCCTGTGTCGTTTTGGTCGGCGGTTGCAGCCAGTTGTCTCGACTTCGCGTTGTGGAGTGAGCAACGACTGCCTCCCGGTTAAGTCCCTAAGTTTTTCCACTGTGGGTAGTTAGCTCCGGGGAGCCGAAGGAGCTCCCCCCCAGAAAACCAGCGTTAAATGTAATGAAACGCCATTTTCTGGGTGAGACCCAGAGGCTCCCCAGCATCCCTTCCTCCCCCGGTTGGCATTTTTTTCGTGTGTTTTGACATCCAGCCTTAGAACTGACAGGTGGATAGCCGGCGTGAGGGGTCTGGGGCTCCTCCCTCCTGGGAAGGGTAAAGCTGCACAGACAGCGGCGCGGCGACGTGTGACGTCATGATCGTTTGCTCGTTTCTTTCAGGGGAGTTCTATCCACTTGGTCAACTTTAGGTAGCAATAATTTCATCCCAAAACAAACCCCTAATAATAGGGGTTTGTTTTGGGATGATTACCTTTCTGAGTGCCTGACCCGGTGGATGGCAGACATAGAATGCTTCCAACCACACGGGGGTTTCTATAGGCCATTGCTCCCCATGCCTCTGAGGAGGGCCAGGTTCTGGCTCGTGGTCCCCTGTAGGCCCACAGAACTCCATACACATGACTGATGCCAAAGTCTGACATTAGCATATCAGCCTAGTAAACTCCGGGGAGCCGACGTGGCTTCCCCCAGAAAAAGCAAAGGTTTACTGCACTAGCTATGAAAATAGATGATGACAGGTATATGTAATTTGTTGAAATTATTTTGAAGTAAATCAGTGATGAAAGATTATGGAAAAGAAACAGGAACAAATAATAAATAATTAGCTGCACGTTTGAAACAACCTTCATAAAATAGAGCCAAATTTATCAAATTAAAAAAATCTCTACTCAGGTAAGCAATGTGACACAACCGTGTCTACTATGAATTATTGTTATTTTTTTAAGGGGGGAAGGGGAACTGTGTCAAAACATCACTCATATCCAACAATCCAATGCAAGGCTCAATGCTGATTAGCACATTAGAGGAAGAGTTGTTCCAGAATGCAAGAATGCAGAAAAAACAATTTGCACACATCACATGCTGTTTTACCACAGCCCCAGTGGCTTCACCCTTCTTGAAAGTCTCTACTAAGCCTTTCTGAAAGTAAACGTTTTGACCTATATTTATGATAAAATAATAGCAATGCTGAAAAAATATACATTTTATAATACTTATACGTAAGCACCTTTCAATAATAATTTCCCGTCACTTTTCATCGCGACAAAACCATTTACATATTATCTACAAGTATATTTTTAGATTTATTTATAAATCTATCTACTAGCCTTCTAATTATACATTAATTCATAAATTCTTCCCTCCATAAATTTTTCAGTTTAGATTCATGGTACCCACGACAGAAAATCCTTTAGGCATCTCTTTCTAAAAACTTTATAAGGCTATCTACATATACACGAACAGTGATACCACACACACGCAAACCTGCACACACACTTCCATTACTGCAAATACTGTAAATGCATACACAAGGTTTTTATATTTAGAGGCAAATGGTAACGCAATAAGAATATCTGGAACTAAAACTTGCTCACCCACTGCATTTAAACTTATATAAAACTATAAATAATGTAAGAAAAAAGACAGACAAATTTTTGTTTCCTTTAAGAACGATATCACAATGTGGTAGTGAAAGACCTTGGTCACTCCCTGCATTAATAGTCAAGTTTAGTCAATTACTTTAGGTTGGAATGCAAGAAATATTCAATGAAGGCTCTCCACTGACTCAACCTTGAGGTTACCTTGAGGCGATTCTGGGGCTCAGCGACCCAGCAGCCCGGTCGTCGACCAGGCCTCCTCGTTGCTGGACTGGTCAACAAGGCTGTTGGACGCGGCTGCTCACAGCCTGGTTGATCAGGTATCCTTTAGAGATGTTTGTCAAGTTCTCTCTTGAACACTGTGAGGGGCCGGCCAGTTATGCATGACTCGAGCATAAATTGGAAAAATGATGTGACAAGTCATCTGTTTTATCTATTGTAAATGCTTTCAAAATTGTTTTAGCGAAGGAAACTATGCGCGATACATTTTAAAGTTTTTTCTTTTAAATAAAACCTTGTAATATTCATCAAATTCATTTACACCCATCCACCCAATCTGAGGGTGAAGAATAGCCAATGTTGACAAAAATACATTTCACCAGTTCCGTAAATCATCTTATTTCTTTTTAGTCATAGATTTTGTCTAGTATTATTAGAATAATAATGTTTAAGATTTCTACTTTTTTAATATTTTATTAGTTTGAAACTTTTAAGGACTGCATCCTTCACAAAACTGTGTACACCTCACCCCAATGAATAATAATTCATGGCAAATCTTTTTAAGTTTTAGTATGTTATTTAAGTATTTTCGAGGATTCCTGGTTTTCTGTGCTTTTGTATTATCCAACAGTGTGGACGCTATAGAGTTTTAATGCTTAATCATCTTGGCCAATTAAAGCCCAATATCTCGGGGTCACATAACAAGAAATACTGTAGTTGATTTAACGAACGTAAACAAAAATCTCATGGTGATATGAGCACAGGATTTAATCACAGATTACCTCTGGTGCATTATGGTAAAAATGCCTGCACTCGGCTAGCACATTTACCATAATGATAAACAAAAACTTGGGACATGAAATGTACAAGGCCCACAAATAACCTGTTTGAAGACTAAAGTCTTATCATAAGTCTACCAATGGCAAAAAGATATAATTTTGTCTTAAAGTCAACCAAAGTTCTAACAAAAAGTAACTGATATGGGTAAGACATACTACTGGAACCGTTTTATCATTGATCTCTGATCGTTCATTGAAGTTATAAGTTGTAGCCGATCCCTTAAGAACTGCAGCCATAATAACTTCAGGTTCCACTTCCTCTTCTGTTCGGGCATTAACCGTAACATGCACGCCTCTGAGCAGCTTGTGTATGTCATGGAGATGTCGAGCACAAGTACCCTTGCGTATAGTTGGGGCCCCTTCACCTTGCTGTAAGTGCAAAGGAGATTGTGAGAGATAAGAGAATGCTGTAATATTTATGAACTAAAAGATAATTGTAACTAATACTACAGTATTTCTCCTGTCCTGTCTGCCTTCCTAATGGAAACTGATAAGCTCTTCAATATAAATGAGTTTTCTAAAGTCAGGCTTCAGATGAAGCAATGTAGGATATCAGTTCTTAGCTTGCACTTTCATTAGGAATATCAGCACCATTCGTAATGAGCCCTAGTTTTAAATTAAAAATATCAATAAAGAAAACAGAGAAAATAAAGAAAAAGAAAGCTTGAGAGAAGGGGAATAAAGATTTAGTGTTCATATGAACATTGTTTAAAAGTAAATTGTCACTGCCATCTATCTACACCTAACTAACAGTTTTATATCTTGTTATCTCTCATGCACAAGAAAATATTTTTCTCAGGGCGTGCAGAAACTCTTGCTTCCATGGCATGCCTGCTCACATACTATCTACTTTAACACCGATTGATTCACACAAAATATTTACCATCTCAATTGTGCGAACAACAACAAAAGGATAATTTGCCTTTGTTTGAATGTCACCTCAAATGTATTGCCAGCTTGTGAAAGTTTTACCATTAAACCCACTATCATAAAGATATTTAAAGTTGGATATGCGGTACAGCATGATCCAATAATACAAGTCAAGTGGGTTTAAACAATCAATCACTCTGTGGATCAAGTGCCTTGAATTTTTTATTACAAATAAAAAAGGTGTAAACTGAATGCTATTCTGCAAATTCAGTATTCCTATTATTAACATGCTGATGAACGGAACCAAAGTTACATGTGCAAATGCTCAAGTCCTGGGCTGTAATGAAAGTTAATCTATTTACAGATCATTTATTTGGTGCCATACTAAATGAGATCATACATATGGTTCACATCATTCAGCTAATATGAACTTCTCTCCCAAAACTAGAGGAGATAGCGCTCTTTGGCGAAAAGTTATAATCGAGGTCAACTTTGATAAAAGAGCAAAAGACAAAACATAAAAGTAACAAATAATTTCAAATTATAATAATTGTTAGTACAATATATGAACTGATCTCAAAAAGATTAAAATTAAATGAATCCCATTGACCCTAACCACCTTTAGAGGCCTCGCCACAAAATGTAGTTAGTGAAAGCTTACAGTTTGAACTGAAGGCCATCAAGGAATTCAGGAACCAATGATGAGTACCCAACAGAAAAATGCAGTACAAGGCCTCCAACCATGCCTAGCCCAGGTGAAGTTTAGGTAGCCTACAAGATGCTCAAAGATCAGACATCAAGAACCTCCAAATTGCCATGCACACATGAAAGGCAAGCTGGCACAACTCAGACTTTGGAAGTGGGAGGAACACAACCCCACAATCACTGGAGGTGCTGGAGGGGAAGTGAAATATGATGAGAAAGCACCAAGCCATTACGACTATATAGTACTTGGAAGGACTCGGGATAAGGATTTGGAATGGGACGAGGGAAAGGAATGGTGCCCCAACTACTTGGATGGTTGGGGATCGACCTGCATAAAGAGAGACTGTCACTACCATCCAGCCTAAGAGGTAAGCTGGAAGGAATACAACTGAGACTATTTGTTTACTAAAAGCCTGAACCAGCACAGCTTACCTGCAGGCAAGACAAGCCATAAAGGAGTTCAACATCACATCACAAAGAAGAGACAAAACAACTTGAGCAAAGCCATGGAAGTCAAGGAAGAGAGAGAGAACAAGGCCAAATGATGACAAAGAGAGAACTTTTCTTGAAATCTTCTGCAACTAGAGCTTAGGACAAGGATAAAACTACACATGCAACTGTCAATAAAACATGATCATTTCCCCTAATGGAGGAGTGTGAAGGTTTTTCCTCTTTCTGCATATAGAATGGTAGCTTACCTAGCAGTTCACCAGCATTATTATTATGAATTTCAATTTGTAAAGGAATATTCACATCATCTGCAATCTTGTAGCTAAAATTAAAGAGTTCCCAGATTCCTGGATTTTCTTACTTGACCTCATTCATATAAATGTCTGGAGCTCTCGTCTACCATCACTTGAAAAAAAGATTACAATAATATACATACCCAATTTATGAGGACAATTTTTGGTCTGGTGGTGTTGGTATCAATGACTTTGACAACAGCATACATGATCTTACTACTATTTAAGTCTTCAGCAAGCTCCTCTAGCCCATCCTCTGTAACACACAAGAAAATATGTAAAATACCATTTTTATACAAGTCTGCTGCAGCCAGGGACTGGGCTGCAGGGATGTTGAGCCCTGGAATCATCGCAAGGTAAGGTATCTTGAGGTTATCTTGAGATGATTTCGAGGGTTAGCTTCCCCGCAGCCCGATCCTCGACCAGGCCTCCTTTTTATTACACATCCCCAGGAAGCAGCCCGTAGCAGTTAACTCCCAAGTACCTATCTACTGCTAGGTAACAGGGGCATCAGGGTGAAAGAAAAATTTTGCCCATTTGTCTCCGCCTCCACTGGGGATCGAACCCGGAACCTCAGAACTCCGAATCCGAAGTGCTGCCCACCCAGAAGGTAAGGTAATCTTCTGCAAGATCATGTTGTTGACATGACAGTTATGCTTTGTATAGTCATATTTAATGCAATATATTCAATACTGAAAAACATTTGCAGGTCTTCTGACCATTTATAGAGTTAAAAGTACAGCAGATCACTTTGCAAGGTCTCAGTATTGTTTTTACTTTTCACTTTACCATAGATATTTGTGTTGTCTGCAAATTTGATAAGGTTTGTAATACAGTACTGTATTCTCATTTGATGTATATAATGTATATATGCTGATGTACATAAAAACTGCAAGGCTCCATCTTGGGGTCATCCAGCTTCTCCGGTCCCAACTACGGCAGTCACCAGGTTTGGAGTCCCTGTGCCTTCTTTCACCAACTTCAAGGTCAACTCCGGAGCTCACAGTTCCTGCAACAGCGCTGTAACCAATCGTATTGGCATTTGCCTTTCCATTGGAGACTTTTGGTGCCATGGAGAGGGGGGACATGCTGCTTGGGTAACAGCTTCTCCTCCATATCAACCTACCCCTGGCTTTGCACCCTGGTGAGGTTGTTAGACAGCAACTCCATAGTCTCCTGCTGAGACTGATCGATGCCTACTACATACAACAAAAAGGGATGTCCCCAAGATGGAGCCTTGTAGTTCTCCACTCAATATTTTTCCCACCAGATTCATTTCCATTTAATGTGCTTTCTTTGTTTAACCATAGTTCCATCCATTGTTATATTTTGTATTTTGCTGTGTATTCCATGTGCTTGCAAAGTCTGTACCAGTCTTACCTGTGGTACCTTATCCAAAGCTTTGGAGAAGTTCATGTACTACATTTCTTCACAACATTTCTTGGGAATTCTTTGAGTAGCTGGTTACCATTCATAAAAATGTGAGCTGGTTAGTTACACATGATTTATTTTGTTAAAAAACCATGTTGTAATGATGTGAGGTTAGGCTGATTGTTTGGTAGTTGTCTGCTGAACTTTTTCTGCCTATTGTAATCTATGGGGGACTTGGAAGTTTGCCTCGGAATACTTGTGTTTTTGATACATGTATGGGTCGAGCACACGGTTTCATTGGGTGCGGGACGAGGCATGCTCAGTTTTCCAGTGTCTCTCGTCTAGTGACCACCCACTTGAATTCTTTGTGAAGAATTGAATTGTTTTTCTGCTTTTTTGGTTTCTGAACATAGAGTTCTTATTATAAGTTATAAAAGTGCTCCTTCATAAGGAGCAGCAACAAGAGACAGCTGAAGAAATTTCTTCAGGAGAGGACGAGGCAGTAGAGGATGTCCCTTCCTCATTAAGAAAATGTGTGCAGTATGGGAAGAACTGCAAAGTTTTGCTGAAAAGACTCGCCCAGATAAAGCTGTAGTAGGCCGTTGCATTAACCTTTTTAATGACAATGTGATGTCTCACTACAGATAAGGTGTTAAAATGTAGGGAAAAAAAAAGTGTCTACAGACAGATTCTTAGCAAGACAAGCAAGCAGTGAGCCATAACCAGGTTCTAGTGGTGTGCCTGCAAAACGTAGGAGAGTCCAGTACCTCAGAAATGTCGTTAGTGCCTGATGTTATAATGGAAGGGGACTCCCTACCAAACACTAACATCTCCCCATCCCCCCACTCCTCACCGTCTTCCATATGCCAACAAGAGTCTTCAATAAAGGTAAGGTATAGTAAAAAATATGAGTAGTATTCTGTATAAAATGTACTTTTAAGTTAATATTTTTGCGTGTGTGTTTCATAAGTTTCTTTTGACTAATCTGATTTCCTGGGTAGCTAAATTTAATGATCATATGGTTTATCTCAAATCCTCTTGAGGAAGAGCTTAGTTGTTAAAGCTCTTTTTACTGAATATCATCCATCTACTGTAGTTATTTTTCCTTTTTTCACATTTTTTAACAAGTTCAGCAATGACCTCTGAAATTTTTCCATGATGCTTGAATCACTTTAACCTCATAGGCATTCATTTATTTAAAACCCCAATGTACTGGAGGACAGAGTCAAAACACCATTGTGTCACTGTTCAAATACTTACGAAGTGCATTTACTGGGTTTGAGCACCAGTTTTGAAGGTCAGAAAACCTAAGCAAACAAAGAAGCTTTCTTTAGGCACCTGAATAAAATCCCACACAGAACCACTGGGTCAATTTCCTTCTGTACAACCATGATTGCTCCTAGCAGCAAAAGGGTTAAGATTCTTCCTGCATGGTGTAAAATTAGACTTAGCAACTTGCAACTTTGGCACTTGAAAAGAAGCTTGAATAGATATATAGTTCAACAAGGTTATCAAACTCATGAGTTTTGTATTCACTGTTTGTATTCTAACAAAAATTCTTCCAAAAATAACAGACTTTGTATACAGTATTGGTATACACATTTTGGTTTGAAAAGTCTGTTCAAGTCACCTGTTATAAATGTAGTATTTTCCTGTACACTACAAAGTGTTATCACTTCAGCATAATTATAACAAGGAACAAAACATGAAAAACTGTTAGCATAATATGGTATCACCACAGGAGATTATGCACTGTATGTTATTAATAGTGTCAACTTTGTGTTGTAAATTCTTATGCTACAGAACAGACATGCCACTACAAAGTCTGCTGGTTCATACCCAGTCATCAAAATATGTTTATGTTGGCAACATAGGAAGAATTGTCAATGACTGCAAAAATTACAACATTGTTTTGAAAACAAGCAATGTTCCTACAATATAAGAATATCACAATCAGCAGGAAAGCTCTTAACACTTACTTGGTTGCAGACTGAAAGCTTTATAAAATTGTACAAACAAGTTTAACTGACTACAGTATGTGCTTGTTGAGATAAGTATCCTCAAGTATGTAATTACTTAAGTAGTTACACGATAAGAGCTACGCTTGTGGTGTCCCCATCTTTTCAATACTCTACTCTGTTTTTTATTTTTCATTTATTTATTTATGAATATATACAAGTGTTCTTACATTCCTATACAGCCACTAGTACGCGTAGCTTACTAGTGGCAGGTCCTTAATCCTATGTTTCCTGGAATACGACCCCGCGAAAAATCGTTTAACAACCAAGTACAGTACTCATTTTGCAGTTGAGTTAAACAGAGGCTACAGTTAAGGATTTGCGCCCAGTAAATCCTCCCCGGCCAGGATATAAACCCAGGATAAAGTACTCGCGAAACGCCAGGCGAGCGTCTTAACCACTACACCACGGGGGCTGTTAAATGAGTATACGTTAATGTGACTGAAGTGCTTGAAGTGGTGGACCAGTTTAAATACTATACCTGGTGAGAAATATCTGAGAGGAATTAATGCAATGAAAGTTTGAGAGTATGATCAGTCATGTTAAGAAAGTGGCTGCATGAAGGGGAAGTATGACTGTGATAAATCAAGCATTAGAGCAGTAAAAGTGGATAATATGAGATATATGATGACATTTGGAGAGAAGACTGAGAAAGTAATGAGTGTCATGGACGTATATGAAATCAAAGTCTACAAACTACAAGATAAAAAAAATGTGTATCACGGTGGTTTGGGCATGTTGAGGGGATGCATGATAGTAGACTGGTGAAAGTCCCAGATTCGAGAAATTGGAGGCTAGGGCATGGAGAAAAGTGTGTGGACATGGTGAGGGAGAGAGGAACCAGGGAGTAAATATGAATAACTCATGTAATATGGTATGGGACAAGGCTTGGTGGAAGCAATTTGTAGGGAAGGATTTAATGTACAGTATTTGAATATGTAGTATTAAGACATTTCATTAGGGGCACTGTACACCATATTCTATATAGCAATGAGGTGCTGCTGTGGAGGATTGCTACAGTGTGGCAGTCGAGATGCTATATAATATATTCAGGTATTATCAATGTGCAAAGAATATTTTTATTATTTCATTATTTAATACCTATAATTTTTCATTTTTTTGTAAATTCCTGTACTTCAAAAGACCAGCATTATCTTTCACTATGTAACTCACCTATTTTCTCTAGACTAATGTCTCCCCACCACATGAAATTGCAAAATGGGATAATGATAATGAATGGATAGGATCCTAAGAATTCTATACTGTATATCAAATGTGAAGAAATTTAGTTAAGCATGTAGTTAGCTATATGCTGTAAACACTTCATCCTGATGTGGCTATCCATTATGAACTGAATATACAGGGTGTGCCATCCTTGATGCCAATCACACCCATTATGATGGTAAAATCTAGAACAAACCTCTTAGAAAATTACCATTCAAAATAACTATTATTTTGATAGATACTAACCCCATGGCCCAACCCTAAAAACATTGGTTATGTACTTTTGCAGAATGGTACACGGAACAAGTTAGCAGATGACATGAGAGTCAGTATTCGAACCTGCGTCCGAGAGCATCCCAGATGCTGCCTTAATCGACTGAGGTCGAATCCTCGTCACGGCCCTTGTGGATTTGTTAAAGAGAGTCAGTAGTTTCCAACTGCCTTATGATAGAGTACAGTGGTATCTTCATTTTCTAATTTAATTAGTTCCCAGAGACTGTTCGAAAAACGAAATTAATTTTCCCATAAGAAATACTGTACCTATAATGTAAATTGAATTAAATCCGTTCTACCCCCTAAAAAATATTAACTTAAAAATACATTTCATACATACTACTACTGTACTTATATTTGTACAACAGTATGTACAATTATATCATACCTTAAATGAGGACTCTTGTTGGCATAGTGAGGAAGGGGGAAGGAGGGAGAGGTGTTTAGTGTTTGGAAGAGGAGTCCCCTTCCATTACAAC